GTGCCGCGTGCTGAGTTTACGTCAGGGGCCCCCAGTACAAAGACATTTTTTGTTATAGGGAGTGCGGTACTAGAGGTTAAAAATGTTGTGCGTGCGTAGTAAAATAGACATTTATCAATGAAAATCCGTTAAAATAATGCACTACCACGTATTTTGAATTTAAAAGATAAAAAAGTCAATGTTTGTGATTTTTAATTAATTTTTCTTCACCATTTTTGCCTCTATTATTTATTTGGAACCTTCTCTGCAAATTTGGCCGGTAATTTCAAAATACCCCTGTATATACAGTCAATATTTAGTAATGTTAGTAAAGTAGTAAGTACAGTAACAGATTTTACTAAAGTAGATAATAATACTTATTGTTAACAATTGCGTACATACCTAACAATAAGTTTTAATATAGTACCTAACTACATACCGATTTAATTTTAAAATATGTTTAAAAAAACATAAGTGATGTAAATATTTATTATTAATAAAGCACTTGTGTATTAAAACACAACTAATTAATCACAAAATTCGCTCTGTTTATAGTTTAGTTAGTTAATGTACTTTATTATAGTAAGAAAAATAAATATTAGAATATTCTTAAAAACCCAGGACACTAAATTGCGGGATTAAAGTTACGGGTTATACGGGGACTTCGAGACTTCGAAATACACATGGTAAATTTTTTTTTTTTACATCAGATTCTAATATATTTAAATTATTAAGAATAACTCATAAACTACTGAACAGGCATTAATCAAATTTATATGGGACCACATGAGAAGCACCAGCTTTCAAATAAAAAAAGAATCATCGAAAGCGGTTCACGGAGAAAAAAAGTTATGAGGTAACACACATAAAAAAGTCGAATTAAGTCCCCGCTCCTTTTTGAAGTCGGTTGAAAATTAGAAATGTTTACGTTTCTTTTTAAAGTTATTAGCTATTTTGTTTGTAATTAGTTTTTATCGAATGGAGAGCCTAGTTCATTCAAACTAAAAATTATCCATCTATATTTTTTTAGCAAGAAGGCCCGAGCTCCTCGCCCACGGTCTAAATCTCAACCAGCCTCCAACGAGTCTTCGGATCGCGGATCACAGCTTCGTCGCAACGCCTCTATCAAGACTCCAAAATCTAAGCCTACTCCCAAGCCTAACATAGTGAAGCAAAACCCCGTTAACAAGAGCATGTCCAAGACCCCAGTTAAGGATAAGCTGCCACCACTGGAGAATCTCACTATAACAACGACAGTTGTCAACAACAGGTAAATAATACTTGAAATTATTTTACTTATATTAATTGAAGTATCTTTTCATAGTATTTATTATTTATTATAAAAGAAGAGGATTAAAACTTATAAAATGTCAAAGATAACTGCGCTATACATGTGCACTAAAAAGAATATCATCAATGTATGAAGCTGTTAAGGTAGTTAAAATACAGTGAACATACAAACATAATATTTCCATACAAAATGCTTTAACCAATTAAATGAAAGCTTTGTGATCATATTCATGACTGTACAAGCTAGATCTCTTTGCCTTCCCTGCATAGGAAAATTAAAAAAAAATTTACGGATTTTACTAATTTTACACCCATGGCACTGTCCCCTCCGTGACCATGAGTGCTGAAAAGTGTCCGAAACGTCGGGAATATGAAATAAGTTAATATACGCGATAAAATCCGTAAAATTAGTTTTATTTAAATGTGTAGTGTTCGCGTAAATATAAGAAATCATAACATCTATGTCATCATTGAACTATGGTAGATTAAAATAATGACATTAAAATTATTTTCAGCGATGGTCAGACACAACCTCAGAGACGAGTGAGCGCAGCCGTCGCACAACAGAGACCCGTGCCAACTGAGCAGGGCAAGAGGAAACCGACAGTGAACCAGGTTAGTCACTTGGAATTTATTAAGGTTTATACCGCGGCTGTCTTTTTAGTATTATTCACTGATAATTTTTAGGGTCCTATATCTGCGATCTGTGATATCTGTCTATCAGCGGGCTGTATCTCATGATCCGTAATGGGTAGACAGTTGAAATCACAGAATGTGTATTTCTGTTGCCACTATAACAAATTATAAAAATTAAAATAAATTAAAAATTAAAGGGGGCTCCCCTACTAGAAACGTGTTTTACCATGGTACGGAACCCTTCATGCTCAAGTCCGACTCGCACTTGGCTGGCTTTTTATATCTTAAACATTTGTTTAAAATATATCAAAATGACCATCATAATTATATGTAGAGAAATAAAAGATGGTAATATTTCTTTACTGGTTTTAAATGGAATTGAAACAATAATTTAAAATAAAAAAAACGTCTACATCTATTATGCACCTCTACACTACACATCTTAGGCTGTCTTAAGTCGTCTGATCTAAATGCAATCGCAGCGTGCATACATCTTTATTCCATCATTCCTTCCAGTACATACTTTGTTCTGTTCATGTGTTCCCTTTTACTCAACGATATCACAAATGACGTCACACCACTACATATAAATATTAAAATTGAATCAAAAATATCCACTCGTTTGATGCTACTTTTTTAATTCGCTTGTCAAAGTTAGGGATTACGGCATTATCTCCAAAATTCGGACAGATCTGTATATAACAAACTGTGTACAGACTAAAGATTTGGTTTTTATAGTTTTTAAAATGTAGAGCAAGTTAGGAAGACAAGGAATTAAGATAGAATTGGGCTTACTGACTACAATTTTTATGGCAACGTAGACGTTTTAAAATTATTATTTGACTTATGGCATAAATTAAAAAAAATATTTCTAAATATTTTAGTTAGTTTTGCATATTCTAGAGTACAGATAGAGGAATCTGTTTATTGCTCTTAATATAATTACTATTAATGATGTTAAAAATAATTAGCTACAATCCGCGTAGTAAAATAGAATGATATGTCTTACCTAGTTTAAAGAGCACCTCCTGTCCTCCCTCAATTGTATGCACTACCCGCGTCACCACTACTCCCGACACCACTACAATAGGAAAGACACACCACCGACGATAATACATGTGTTTCGCCTCTAAACGAAGCATACTCAGGTGATGTAGACTGCAGTAAATAACCGCTAAGTGCAACGGATTTCCGCGAAGTAACACCTGATTCTATTAATTATTTTTGATTACTCAAATATTTTTAATAGTGTCATTTTGACAAATTGGGCAAACGAGCATACATACGGCTCACCTGATGGGAAGCGATTACCGCCGCCCATGAACAACTGCAACACCAGGGGAATTGCAGATGCGTTGCCGGCCTTTTAAAAAGGAGTACGCTGTTTTCTTGAAGGTCCCTAAGTCGTATCGGTCCGGAAAAATCTCTGGTGGTAGTCGGTTCCACAAGGAAGTTGTGCGAGGAAGAAAACTTCTTTTAAATCGCACAGTGCTGCCCCGTAAGTCATCCAGATGGTATGGATGGTATCGCGAGTTTTGTCGCGATGTGCGATGGTGAAATTGTGCGGCTGGAGTTTATCTGAACAATTTCTCAGAGTAGTGATAGTATAGTAGCTATTGGTGTAGCCTACAACAGATTTTATCGTATGAATAGATTGTTCTCTCGTCGACAGCCACCGCAGCAGAACAATGTGATGACGAGTAAACAGCCCGCGCAACAACAACCGGTGCCGCAACAACAGAAACCACAACAGCAGCAACAACAGAATCAGCAACCGCAACAAACTTCAGGTAAATAATAATAATTGGGCAAACAGCATCATTGATAAATTAATATAGCATTATATATTTGTCTGTAGTGAATGGATCAATGAATATTTTTTATATGAAATTGCTACTATATAAAATGTTGTATCAAAAAGTCGGTGAAGTCGGTTTTCCACCTTAAGTAGAATTAAATATTAGTTATAAAAACATGCGAGAGTGTTGTGGAACACTCGGTTGGAAAGAAGTTCCTTTCGTAGTATATCATCATTGATAAACGTATTATGTTACTGATTAACAAATACAAATAAATTAATTACTAGCGTCTATTAAAATGAAGCGTCGTTTATAATAATATTTCTTTCATGGCAAGATAAGAAAAAGTGCGAGGGAGATGGATATTATTCCATCTCGCTCGCGCGAAAGGGGGTCGTGACGGAAACATCTTACACTTTTTCTCGCCGTCTTTTTTACATCCACCAAATTTGTACCGTGCGATAAGGAACTTCGTTTCAAATATGAGTTGATCATTTCAATATAAGAAACTTTATAACCTACCGAATTTGCCTACTTGGGCATTTTGATTAAGAAGTTCCGATATGAACTATAATAGATCTATTTTTTTCTTTAGAGCCTTTCATAATTCCACTGCTGAATATAATAGGACCGGCCCTTGATACTGATGGCGCTTTTCAGAAACAGAAAGGTTGGCAACTGCATTTTTTTCTATTATGATTGAGTTGTTAACAGGAAACTGCTGCTGCCCATCTCCTGTTTGATTTTACTCTGTCGCTTCTTACGGCACCCAACCGAGTGATAATAATTATTGCACCATCTCAATTGTTATTTTTTCATGATAGGTGCAGAATCAAAAGCCGGTGGAAGCAAGCGGTACAGCAGTTTGCGTCAAAGGCCGCTCGCAGAGCCTTACTCGCCACAACAGCCTCAACAACAACAACCGCTGCAACAACCGCAGCCACAACAACAAACGCAACAACAACCACCGCAACAACCGCAGCAACAACAACAGCAGACTCAACAGCAACAGCATAGATATCACGGAGGTGAGTAACTTATTGCTCTTATCTATCAGAAGTATTCTACTGAATGTAAGCCTCCGCTATAGATTGCCTCATAGAAAGGATATTTTCATTTAGTTGCCACACTTGGCAGGCGGTATGGTAACCACAGTTGCTGCTGCCCACATCATGGTTTGTTCTCTCTGCCGTCTATAGGATTCGCTTTTAGGACACCCATAGGATTTGCTGTTTATAGTTCACAGTGGCTTCCTAAACCGAGGGTATAAGGTATAATTACCATAGAAATAATTACCATGTTTAATTTTCTTAATAATATAAGCAACGAAGGATCTTACAGCTTCTTCTGATGGTAAGTGGATATTGAAACTCATAGATATCATCTATCCTTGATTAAAAATGAAAATGCAGATGCGAGTTCGTCCCTGAGTATAAGTACGAATATCTTGGTACCACTAAAAAAGGTCTCTGATTCGTTATCGCGTTCTTCAAATAATTAATTATAAGATCGCCAGGGTCGATCGGGAAAGGAACATTCTAAGTCAATCCGGTTCATATAAACATTCCTCTCTTTCATTCGAAAATGCGAGAGCAATCTAGATTAATTGTAGGTCCAAAAGAGTAAAGACTATCGTTATAAAGATTGAGTCTTGCTTGTATTAATAAAGTTTACTTTTATCTATTTATCTGGCCACACGTTTTAAATTTACAGGGAGCATTGATCTTTATTATTTAGATATACGAATAATTTAAATAATATACATAAACTAATGTTAGGTGTTTTTTTTTACAGAATATGCAGGCAACACACCACCACAGACTCAGCATCAAGGCAGTCCTGTGCCCCAGATCCATCCACAGCAGCTAATACATCAGGTAATCTAGATCTTGTAGGTATATCTATATATATCGTCCATTAATTACTTGAGGCAATTTTGACGATTTTTCTACCCTTCCCCTCCCGCTGGTGAGATGTGAGATATCGCTTGACAACCCACAGTTTTAAGACCTTACAGTTGTGAAACGCCTTTGATGTCCTGCGATGCCGCCGTCCGTACGTATTCACGGGGCCAGAGTGTGTGCTAGGGTTGTCACGAAATTGGAAATAAAATGATTTTGGATATTATAATACTCATTATCATTTATTAACATTATATATACATACTTATGAGTTGAAAACGTTTATTGGACAAGATCATTTTTTATTACTACAAGAAAAAACGCATTTGCAAGTGTTGCATTGCCAAATATTTTCGTGACACTTTCTTTTTATAAATGTTTTAAGTTTTCGATTGTTAAATTTAATTATGAATTGTATTCTATATTTCTCTAATAATTTGAATTCAATTTTTCTTAGTAACTCATATAACTATAAAACACGCTCGCGCCAGCCGCATGTATTGTATAGCAGACTTAGTGGAGTGCACAGGCAGAAGGTCGACCTGCCCCCTGCCTCGCAAGGACTCCACCTTGTGCACAAGTGTTAATTAAAAGAGAGACTGAGAACCAATATTCGTTTCCCAACTGTAAATTCTTTAAACTGTGATACAACCAGTGTACTTATGGCTATGAAGGTATTTCATATTGGTTCTCAGAGGAGATAACGCTTCTGTAGCATTGCTTGTTTGAAGTTGGTTGCAGATGTACATAGGCTGCAGTAGCCACTTACAATCAGGTGCACTGTAAGTTTGTTTATTATTTCAATTTTCATAAAAGAAACGTGCCCATGGACCAGCCGCTTTTTTATAGAAGAGGGGGCAAACGAGCGTGCGGCTCATCTCCTTTGTCACATTTATATCATAAATAATATAAGAGTATAAAAACACTTGAACAACACTCATTGATCATTAGCTGTGATGATCCTGATAATTATTTTATTTTATCCTGGTGATCCTGATCACGATACTAGGATAATAGTTATTAAATTATTGTATTGTTATCGGTTCAAAAATCTGTTGCTAATTTTCAAGTCAATCGACCGTCTACAAGTTGGTGAAAATTACATTAAAATATTAAAAGATTCCATTACATAGATAAGACACGCGAAGTTAATAAAAACGTGTTAAAAACATGGGAAAGAAAGAAGTTCCTTTCGTGGTATATTATTATTATAGATAGACGTATTATATTATTGGTTAACAAATACAAATAAATGAATTACTAGCATCTATTAAAATGAAGCGTCATTTAAAATAATATTTCTTTCATGGCAAGATAAGAAAAAGTGCGAGGGAGATGGATATTATTCCATCTCGTTCGCACTATAGAACGTCGTGACGAAAAATCTTACAATTTTTCTCGCCTAGCCCCCATCCGTCAAATTCGTACCGTGCGATAAGGAACTTTGTTCCAAAAAATTATCAACGCTCCGAGAAGTCCGCAGTCTGTGAACACGTACAGGATCACCCGCGTCACTACATTAGATTTGATAGACCATAAATCCTCGCTAAAAAACATCGATTCTTTACAAGTATGATTCGCGAGGCTATTGAAATCAAATATATCCTAATTACAATAGAGGAGATAACTGGGTGCTACCATCTGCTTGAGATCTTATAATTAATTTTTTTTTTATCCCAATCCAAGCATACAACTGCAGTACTTCAAGATACTGTAAGTTCATACTGCGTAGATCGGACCAAAAATTAATAATTTTAATCTGGAGGTAGCCGTGATTAACTATGACATTGGGACGTCAAACACGTCGGTCCCCCCCCCCCCCCCCCCTCCCGTAACTATGGGTGCTGTAAAGTGCTCGAAACGTCGGGTATATAAAGTGAGTTAATGTACGCGATAAAATCCGTAAAAGTAGTTTTATTTAAAAGTTATCATTTGGTTTTAGGTACATCGTAACACTACAGTCAACCAGCCCCATGGACCTTCGCCTCCTCATCAAGCCTTGCAGCAGCAGCAACATTCACAACAGGTACTTGAAATATGGTGTTTTTAGAGCATGCTCTATTTGTGCTGGAACGGTGGAATTTAGCATTAACAGCTGGATTTAATCCCAAAAATCCCTATATGCGATAGAACATTCATATAGGTGCAATGTTTTTCCCAAAGCCAGCAGATAACGCTGATCGGAAAGAACTTGGTCGTCAACGTTTCGAGTCGCTTCCCATCGAAAGCGGTCAAGTAGATGGAAGCTGGCTTGATGAGAACATTTTTATTTTGGATGTGAGGCCGCATCTTTACCCTTTTAAAGTTGCAACCGGTGGCTCGGCATTAAATACCAACAGGGGGCAGTGTCAAAGTTGTTCATGTCTTGTACTATTGATAGTCAATCCATCTGCCAAGGGTGATGATTAAGTCAAATCATCGCTACAACGCGAGAGGCTGGGCATGAGCCTTGGATTCTTACCGCCTGTAAAGAATACCATGAAACTTGAGAACGAGGAGTTAACATGTAGTGGCCTAACTATATAGATTAATGCCTTGTTATATCTTTCCGCAGGTTAGACTGGGCATACTGGAGCAACCTCCACAAATGGTATCCCATCCACATCACTCCATACACAACATACCTCCGCAACACTCTATCGGTAATTGTTATTCTTAAATTTATTTTATTATACTATGCTCTGTCAAATTTACGAGGGGAGGTCAAAAAGTTCGCGGAATAGCGGGGTTGGCGACGATGAGTTCACTCATCCAGGTAGGAGCTAGTTCAGTGACTCGTTGTTAGTATATATACCAAGTTTCAGCCTAATCGGGTCATTAGCTTTTGAGTTATTAACGAGTAAACAAGTCAATCGGGAAGAAACTAGCCAATATAGAGAAAATTGAATATCGCGCCGTCATTAAGTTTGTCACTAAACAAGGAAAGACACCTCAAACCATTTTTCAAGAGATGTTAGCTGTTCATGGGGACTCCGTTCCTGGGAAAACCATGATATATAAATGGCACGCCCTTTTCAAACAAGGGAGGAACTCCAGTGTAAACGACCCCCTACCTGGGCGGCCGATTTAGATTATCACGTCAGATATAATCGAGAAAGTTGAAAAACTTGTATCGGAAGATGCCCAGCTAAAGAAAAAACAGCTTGCAGCTTTAGTTGGAGTATCAGAAACAACCAATTTAAACATCCTACACCAACACCTTGGCATGACTAATGTCTGTGCGATGGGTTCCGAGAATGATTTCTGCGCATCAAAACACGAGCGCGTCGAAAGTTATCGCGAGTTTTTGGATCGCTGTGGAGAGCAAAGGGAGGAAGTTATGGCCTGAATTGTAACTGGAATGAAACTTTGGTTCACCATTATGAACCTGAGTCAAAGCAAGAGTCGATGCAGTGGCATAAAAAAGGCACACACCGCTCCTAAGAAATATGTGTCCCAATCGGCCCGAAAGATCATGGCGACGATCTTTCGGGAACAGAAAGTATCCTTATGTTTCATTATAAAGAACGTGGTGTTTCCATAACGGGAGAATATTACGTTTCTTTACTAGATCGATTAAAAGAAGCTATTAGAGAAAAAAGTCGAGGAAAGCTTACAAAAGGCGTGCTCCTTTTGCACGACAATACGCCCGTGCACACAAGCCATGTTTTGCGACAGCTGCCATTCACCGGTGTGGTTTTGAACAACCGCGCCACCCACGCTACAGCCCCAAGCGACTATTATTTGTTTCCAAAATTCGAAAATACTGCGTGGGGAAAATAATTGGCGACGATGATGAAAGTCTGCAATTTCAGCCTATTTCACACACAAATCTTTTTTTTAGACGGTATTAATAAGTTATTTGGACAGATCAATAGTTTAATGTTTCATTTCCTTCCCTGTCATTCCGCGAACTTTTTGACCTCCTCTCGTAGCTTGATAATTTTAACAGCTCACTGTAGGAATGGGGTGGTGTATACACCACCCCATTCATTGATTATAATCAAACAGAATATTAACACGTATTTCGCGTATTGTACGCGTATATAATTAATTAATTAATTTTTAAATATTAATTACATTATTTTCACTCAGGACAACTGCAACCTGCTCAAGGATACGCACCACCTGCAATGATGCCGGCTCAGTTTATGCAGGTAGATAATTTATTATATACTAGCTCGCCAGGCAGACGTTGTTCTGCTCTTTCCTGAGTGGACCCTTTCTACAATAAAAAAATATCCTTAAATTCGCAATAACAATTTTTGAGGGTCATTTAGCGGGATAAAAACTATCCTATCTTTCAAGTTGTAAACCAAAATGCACACAGTGTGCAAAATTTCATCGAAATCAGTTCAGTAGTTTAGGAGTCCATCGCGGACAAACAACGTGACACGTAATTTTTATATATAAAGATTATACTTTAATACTGTGGCAAAGATTTTTACGAAATTGTTTTTTTTTCCTACCCAAATGCCCAAAGCGAGGTTTATATTGTAAATATGTATGTTCGTATGTGAAGTGATTTTAACGGTGACGACAGTCTCGTTGGTCTAGTGGTCGTAAACGCGATTGCCGATCATAAGCTCTCTGGTTCGAATCTCGGGTCGGGCCAAAAATCAGTTTTTGGGGTTTTCTATCAAGAAAAGTAGATAAAAAAATTCTCAGTAGCAAGCCGTAGTAGTCGGGAAGTTGGCGGTGTTTCACCCCCGTGTTTCAGAAAGCACGGAAAGCCATTGATTCTACGAGAGATCTCTCTCCGGTCGTGTCGGATTACCGTCTCATCGGACTATGAGAGTGAGGGAATAGAGAGTGCTCCTGTGCTTGCGCATACATAATCCTGTCTTACGCAGATGGCAAGTCTAAATTAAGACTGGCCTCCGTGACTGAAATTCGGTCTGGAAGGGCACTATGGCGACACTTGCTGTATGGTTGAGGCATATGTGGTGAATCAGTCACCCTATATGTCCCGTGGGTGTCGTAAGAGGGGATGAAGAGAAGGGCCAGAGATTTCGCAAAGCTTCTGATAGATGCCGGTATATAACATACTGTTACGCGCCACTATTAATGTCTTGTACATGGCAACACTAGTTACACTAGCGCCCTCTAGTGTCGAGTAGCAGAACTAGGAGAGTCGAGATCCTTCCAGAAATTTCGGGACCGATATGTACTCGAACATTCTAGATGTCGCTACAGTGGAAGGTTCTGGAAACTGTCTGAGGCCCTATATAAAGCCGGTATGGACCACGACCAGGGCAGTATTGAATTGGCGATACAAGAGAATACTTCGAAGCGAAATAACGGCGAAATGTGTTTTATTATTAGTGTGATTTTAGATTGTAATTAGTGTTGTGTAATTAAAGTGTCAATTTTGGTAATTCAATCGGCAGTTTTTAATTGTCTCGAACCCCAAGCTCGTAACAATACTATGTACAACACCACCAGTACCAGTATGGTAAAAGCATAAATTACTTTCAATAAGTGTTCTTGTAATCTATATTGAATAAAAATTATTCTATTCTATCATACACATACAACAAACCTGTTGTAAAATAACCACACTGGAATGATGAGCTGCATAAAAAAAAATGATATTTGGTACTGCGATCTCCCATCCTTTTGCCAAGCGTGATAATTAAGGCAGAATTTGTTTCTCGTTCTCATCTTGCGCTGTGCACACTAACCCATAACATTTTATTTTTTTATTTTATGAATTTGTTGTTTTTCAGCAAGGAGGCAGCGGTGCAGTGTATAGCGGGCCCGCCATGTTCGCACAACCACCGGCCGCGTATCCCCATCAAATTTATCCACATCACAATTATGTGAGTGTCACTTCTGTTTCCGATCTTATGTGTGGCATAAAAGTATCCACACCCCGTTATAATAACCCCTCACATGCAAAAAGAACTTTCTTTATCTCGTCCCGGGTTCATATTCATCATCGTCGTCATTGTCATCAAAGTCCATACAAATCCACTGCTGAACAAAGATTTCCTCACAGATTGCAACAACACATATTTCCTTGTTTATAATGTAATGACACATTACAATATAGCTCTTTTTTTATAGAATAAGGGTGACAAACATACGCACAGTTCACCTGATGGTAAGTGCATGCTGTGACCTATAGACATCTATAGGTCACAGCATGCACCTATAGATGTCTATAGGTCATGCCCATCCTCAATTAAGAATCATAATGTCCCTCCTGAGGACTAAGATGGAATGGCACGTTTCCAATAAAAAGTGTCTCCGGTTCACACTCACCATACGAAACACAGCAGCATTAAGCTGCTATTTTACGCTGGTATTCTGTACCCCGGTCGAGCCGACTCATTTGTGCTACAACCATAACTATAGATCCTAAGAAATTAGTGTTTCATCATACAACCAACAGTTAGGAAGGTTCCCCAGTTCTTAAGTCGTTAATGGTAAATATGCTGTTTGCAACAACCATTTTATACAAATAATATATCTTCTGTTATACAAGAATTAAAAAAAAATCTTAGACCGCGTTCCGACGACACGCACCCGCTACGCGCACGCCACGCGCGTCGGCACCCGCGTCTAACTCGCTTTGAAATTTTTTGCATATAATTAGAGTCTTATGACATATCCTTAGACTGTGTTACAATAATTGATAATTGTTTCTTATACTTGTGTTAGAGTGAAAAAAATATATCGATAAATATCGTATCGGTATCGATCATTATCGCGTGATAAATATCGATATATCGTCGTGTTATACATTATGTAGTAGGATAAGGGCCAAAATGTTATTACTGGACTTTTTGCCGACATAAAAAAACTACAACAGCACATGAATGCTTGTTTAGCTGCTTTTGTTGCTTAATGTTTATTAAAGTAAAAACATATCGACATTGATAAGAATTCGATACTCTTAAATAAAATATCGAATATTGATAAATTATCTCGATTAAAAATATCGACGATAATTTTATGAGAAAATATGGATATTTTTTTACCCAAGCCTAAATTGTGTAGTAGCAGTGTAGAAGAATCCACTAGCCTGTGTCGTTCCTTACGGTAGCTATACACGCTAAGACCTGCTTCTATTAATTATCGCAAAACCCTTGTTAAAGTTTTATAAAATTATTTAAAGCTTTTGGTACAGCCTAGCGTGTATAGTTACCTTAAGTGGCGTCGTCCTTGTGGCAGAAAAGGTCGTAGATACCTCATTGTAACTGTGTATCTGGTGACATTGATTCTCATAAAAACGCGTCTTGTTGCTTTCTCGTTGTTTCCTTGTTCTGTAGTATTTGTTGTGGTGATGGGATATCCCAATTTGTGGCAGGCAACTCAAGCGGGCGGCGTGACGTACTACAACTGCGCGGAGCAGGAGCCCCCGCCGCCGCAGCCGCGCGCGCAGAGACGCCCCACTGCAGCCATACCCATAGTCCGACCGGCCGCTCCGGAGAGGTGCCATTACTAATATTTTGTACTATTTTATTTCATACATACATACATATTCAAACACCTGTCATCCACATGCGTATGCAGAGATAGTGCCAGATTGATTTCCATTTGGCACGGTCCCGACAACTGTTTCGCTTTTTTTTGCATATATATATATATAGTGTGTAAGTAGTACTATATTGTCAGGTGAGTATCGTAAAAGCCGACAGAGGGAAACAGACCAGGAGATGGTCGGCAAAAACTAAAAAAAAACTGCGGTTGCCACTACACTTCCCAAGCGTTTTAACTATGGCAAATATCCCCCCTATGACAATCTATAGGGGAGGCCTATATGTTCAGCAGTGAACTTTTGATGTACTGTACCGGTTGTTCGGTTGTTAAGGTGTACAATGTGATTCAAATAAAAATAGTTAGTAATAGTAAACAATCTGTCAACTGTCATTAGGAAAGTATGGCTTGCAAAGAAATTAAATTTGCGTATTAATAACGTTTTTTTTCCCCGCTTTATTTAATTGAGTCTTAGTATATTATCAAATCTATTGAACTCACAATTATTTTTATAAATTAATTAGTTGGTACTCGGCGCTTTGCTACCGCATATGATATAATTGTGGAAAAATCGTTTTAAATTTGGAACAGTTATATTGTTTAATTGTGAATGATGATAATACATTCATTGAAATTGAATGATATATAACTTTCAAATAAATTTGTCCGTACGACACGCAGGCCACCTACTGTGAGTTAATTGTACTATACCTATAATCTTCGCGCAAGTGCAAGCGATAAGTTGACAAAGTTTTACCGTATTCTGATGAACGGTATGGCAGCGTTTAAAATACGAACAAACAAAAATTAATGTTTATTTATTAGATTTAAAATATTGATAGCAGTCGATGGAATATTTTAAATATCTACATAAATCCATGTTTTATTTTTATAACGGAAAGCAGCAGTACGATAATGATGACAATGATGACTACTTAGACATTGATACAGATTAATACTTTTTCGTTCACGATACTTTTATTTGTAAATAAATATTATTTCATTGATATTTGTTTTGTTCACCCTACCTAACTGGTTTGAATTGACGTCACAATATGGCAAAAGGTCAGTCCTATTGTTATTTGAATCACATAGTACCCTTAATTCAAAACACATCTTCGTTCATTAAAACTTCCGTCTACCCTAGACAGAAGTTAATCATTATCAACCAAATTGTCTCTTGCCTGGCTGGTTCTGCCACTCACTTCTGCTATCTTTATTCGTAGTAAGATTTTCGGCGGCATCGTGGAGGTTTTTTACAAACTTAAATTACACAAGCACTAACAGCCAGACCCGGAACAATTAATCCCATTGTTTCATTTAAATTTGAAGATAGATTCTACCTCTAATGCTTGAAACATAGGGGATGACATTTTTAATGTAACTATTTGGATAATATTCAAGTTGATACTGTGGTTTGTGATACTTTTTTTATATAGAATAAGGGTGACAAACGAGCTCACGGCCACCTCTTGGTAAGTGGTTGCTGTGGGCGTTAGACATTTATATCTATCCTCGATTACGAATTGAAATGCAGATACATTGTCACCCGTGGGGACTAAGATGGAATGCCTCGTTTCCAGTTAAAAGGGTCTCTGGTTCTCTACACCAAGAAACGAAACACAGCAGCGTTGAGCTGCTATTTTGCACTGTACATTCTGTGAGATTGTGGTCCTTCCCCGGTCGACCCGACCCATTTGTGCTACAACTATACCAGTAATTTAACTGCAGCAAGTCTCTTCCACTGCTTAATTCACTCAAAAGGGTCAAATAATTAAACTTGCTATGAAATTGTGTAAGGGAATAGTTAAAGCCCAGATTTTAAAAGCTATTAAATAATATGGAAATTATTTTATTTATTTTAAGTCTGTTGCGACTAATTTTAAAATTTAATTAATATGGAATAAACATTTGTCAAATCAATTTTCAGTATTTATTTCTTGTATTCACAGGCCGGCTAACTCCACAGAGAAGGACAATATTGACAGAATTGTTGAAAATATGTTTGTGAGGAAACCTTGGCCAGCACAAGGCGCCGGTGAGTGGAGATATAATATGTTGAAACTATTATTTCTTTTGTCTTTTATTTCTTAAATAAAAGTTCCCCTTACACTAGGATTTTCTCTTGTATCGTGGACGCAGTTTACAAACATAAATTGCACAAGGACAAATATCCAGACCCGGAACAATTTGTAGACTATACAAATACCCACTTGTTCCGTGCGGGATTCGAACCCGCGGCCCCCAGTGTTGCAACTCATTGTCTCGATCTCGATCGTTATTGTATCTCGTTCATTATTTACCAGGAATGTAACTGGGAATGTAGTGGCGATGTAAGAAATACCCACTACTTCCATTTCGTCCCGTGGGTGTCATAAGAGGTGACACAGGGAAATATACCAGGAGATGGGCAGCAGCGTCTTCTTAATAACAATAAAAATTGCGGTTGCCAACCAGCTTGCCAAGCCTTGTAACTATAACAAATAATAAATCAATAGAATATGAGGCAATCTATGAGAGAGGCTTATGTTTTACACTAAATAGCCTCTAATAATGACGGATATTTTTACCAACAAAGACCTGTAAGTTTCCACTGCTGAAAATGGCAGATTGACTATCGCAGATGTCTCGCAATTAGGACGCTGCCACCAGTCGCCTGGTCCTGTGTATTTTTAGTCTGACCTAAACGAGATGGTTTCTATCGGAAGATATGAGATTTTTTTAACATATCCCATAGTCGCCTCTTACGATACCCACGACACGAGATGAGGTGATGGACTCTCTTAAGCCGCTACCACACCGCAAAGTTAAACACCTTGGCTACCGGTACGAGGCTGTCACTCGAGAACCTTTCTTACCTATCGGTTATCTTCGAGCTATATGGCCTTAATATAAGAACTTATTTTTCTTCGATTTCAACACGAATGTAATATTACTAAACTCGTATTACTAACGTAATGAAGTACTCACTCTCATCCTCTCCCCCCTCCCCCTACACACACACTGAAGATATATCGTCCCCCGCAACATAGGCGTTATAAAAGTATGAAAGAAATAAAACAGATTAGGAGTCAGTTTTCATTTATAATTTATATCAGTTATAATTTATAATTGAAATTGACTTCTGATATAATTTAATAAAAAAAATTAAAATGGATGCATTTTCAGTTCCAAGTATTTTTTTCTACAAAACTACTTTTTACTAACTTAAATTTCCTTTCCCCTCAAGATTTACTATGGGCGAAATTACATCACGCTTATAAAATGCGTGCGTGGCTCAATTCGCGGTTGCATTAGAAGATTTGCAATATATAAAAAATATCAGCTTTCCAATGCAGAGGAAGATCAATTTTAAGTTTGGTTTTATTTCTGTCTGTACCTTTCATTTTTTAAATGTTTAGTAGTATGTTGTAATTAGCTTGAGTTATTCATGTGTTTATCTCATTTGATTTTTGGATTTTGCATTTAAATACTTCCTTTTTTCAGGGATAAACTGATTAAAATACATATTACATAGTACTACCACTACTTTCCTACGTGGTAGAGTCATGCTGCAGCTATATTAGTGGTATAGTTGCAGCACGAATGGGTCGCCTCGACCGGGGAAGGACCACGCTCTCACAGAATACCAGCGTGAAATAGCAGCTTAACGCTGCTGTGTTTCGTATGGTAAGTGTAGAGAACCGGAGACCCCTTTTACTGGAAACGAGGCATTCCATCTTTAATCCTCACGGGTGATACCGCATCTGCATTTAGATTATTTATTGAGGATAGATGTCAATGTTTTTGGGTCACAGCAACCACTTACCATCAGGTGGACTGTGTGCTCGGTTGTTACCCTTATCCTATATAAAAAAAATTAATATGTAAATTTGACTAAATTAATAGGAATCCTTGAATAGACTTTTTGAAATATAATAACTTGAGTAATAAGTAAGTTTAGGTTTAGATTTGTAGTATGTTATATGTTGAGTAGTTATTTTATTTAATTTTTACTTAGAATTATTATTTCAGAATAGATTTAGTTATTAGAAGTATAAATACCAAGTAAATTCACGGATCGAACAGCGCTTCTTGATATAGTATAATTCATGTGATATATTACCTCTGAATAAATCAATAAATGAGATATTCGGAAATTTTACAGAAGCGTCAAAAGAAAAGTCACAAGAGAACAGAAGTTCACAAGAGCCGCAGAGCAAGGAGTCCTCACAGCCCAACAGCCTGACATCCAGCTCCATATCAACAGACTCGAAGCCAGCGGAGAGCACGCAGAAAGAAGCAGAAGATAGCAGCAAGTCAGAGAAGGAAGTGGCAGAGAGCGAAGCATCGGTACCACAAGAGAGCATATCAACAGATGCCTGACCGGTAAAGATAAAACTATACGAGTGTTATGACTCTAATTACTATAGCAAAAGGTAATTTATTGCTATTCGAGGGTGGTCACATTTTTTCATGACGTCACAGTACTTTTTATTTTCGATTGTCAAATTTAAATTCTAAATTGTAGGTAATACCGTCGAATTTAAATTTTTATTTCAAAAGTGTTTGGTTACATGTTTATTTTGTTCCTACAATGCTGTACAGTAGAGCTTGGTTTGCTTTTAACGTTTAGTTTGTTTAACCAAGATAGAATTTTATCTTGTTCACTTTTATTTATCGATATATGAGAAGAGAACCCTACAATGAGAATGTTTCTTTTAAAACTTCATTATGTCAATTAATTGTATAGTCAATAAGAATTGGCCTACTACTAATTTTGTCATTGTGGTATTCATGATGGAGGACTTTAGGTCTGTCCGCCACGCAATATAGCCTCTTATTATTAAAGGTCTATTCTGACCTATCTGAGTAGTAGTGATTTTCAGCCTAAAGTAATATTTTAAGATGTAGCGTTTCTATACGTCCTACATAAAGTTTACATACAACATATTTTGCACCTTATTGCATGTAACCCAAAATCGACCAAGTGGTTTTTGCGTGAACTTGGAATTTTTTTCTTTGGTGTTAAAAATAACTTAATAATTTGACAGCATCGTAAGATAGTGGCGTTTTTATGGAACGGAGCAAATGTGATTAACCTACAAATAATTGTTTCGGGTCTGTCCTTGTGCACTTTATGTATGTAAACATCCTAGGAATATTCTACTGATGAGTAACATTTGTTTAAATAAGAAAAGAATCCGTTATTAATAAGTAGTGCAGAAGAATGACACCTAGAAGACATAACTATGTAATAAAATATCTGTTTTGTCAAGTCCTTTAGATATTTTCAGCATTGATAGGCCCTTACCACTTTTTAATTCAAACTTAAATTATAGAAAATTTAATCAAATTCAAAACGAAATTTTGACACTTGACTGTTACACACATTGACAGGATGATGTTGCAGTTGCCAGTAAATGAGGTTATGTTTTACAGAAAATTCAAGGTTGTTATTTTTCTCATCTTCATCTCATCGCAACATCCACGACTTTCTGCCACCAGGGCGGCGCCATTTAGAAATGATGTGAAATATTTGCCAGATTTAATTGTGGGTTTAGTTAGTTTGTTAGAAAAATGTGAAGGAAATGTATTTTCTGAAAAATTTGTTATATTTCATATTAATTAGAGAGATTTTGCTTGTGTGGTTTTTGAAATTTATGAAAATGTGGAATATCTATATTGATTATTAGAAAGAAATAAATTCTATGTTGGTATTAAGGCAAACTCGTTCTAGTAATTCAAATTCGAGAAATGCATAAACGAACATTCCTAAGGTTGAAAAAAAAAACTTTAAGAGCAAACCACCGAAGCCTTGTTTTTTGTATTTACATACCTTAGAAATCGGTAAACTTTTATTTAAAACAAAACTTCAGATATATAATGATATTTTTGTAACAAATAACTTCACCTCGGTCCCAACTAGCGACATCTGGTGAGCGGAAGATTATTAACCCTCATTGAAACTACAGTCAGTGATCCACAAAATTTGTCTTTAGGTTCTTAAGTCTCAAACAAATACTAAATAGGTGTGTGTAAATGCATAAGAATAATTTATTGTGTATTATTTACTCAGATATTATTGAGTCAATCACATTTTTTAAAGTAAAAATAATTATTAATGTGAGAGTAATGTGCTGTTTGTGTATTTTATTTTATTGGACATTCTTGCGCACAAATCATGAATGTGCTTGTTATATGACTACCCCAATGATTAATTTTTTGGTTCAAACTTTTGCTTTTAGTTTTTAATTTTAAAAACATGTTCATTAATTGTTTTTCTAGTAATATGTGTCCAAACATATTTTCTGTATGGAAAAGAAGGCAAACGAGCATACGGCTCACCTGATAGTAAGTGATCACTGTTCCTTAAAACATGCAACAATAAACGTATTGCAGGTTTATTGCCGGCCTTTTAGAAAGGAGTAGACTCTTTTTTAAAAAGCTCCCTAAGTCGTATAGGTGCGGAAAAACCGCTGGCGAAAGTAAATTCCAAAATGTTCTTGTGTGTGGCAGATGTTTTTTGTAAAGTGAACTATAGTGGCTTGTCAAGCATCGAGATGATGCGAATGTTACTAGCTTGCAATATATATCATTGATATGCAAAGAACTAGGGTAGGCGATAGCACGCAGCCCTGTGGAATCCCAGCATTCATAATATTATGTTATTGGTTATTGTTTTTTTTTTCACATAAATACAATAAATATTTTATCCTATATTATATAGATTAAAAACTGCGAAAAATGTGTGACCGCCCTCGTTAAATCATGTAGAAGTGTTTTCGTCAATAACTATTTGGCTGTGTACAAGTTCTATGGACTATTTTTTTAATTATAATCAATAATTTCTAAGATTCAATTTTGTCGAAAATCAAAAATGTTTGAGATGATCTTATTAATTTATTGTTGGTATGTTCGCTATGATTGGTATTTCGAGTTTTAGTTGTATAATATGTTTGGCGTTATGACGGTACGTTTTCACACTTGTCAAATTTTTGCCATCTGTCAAAATCTGGGAATTATGTTGTTTGCTTTGTGATTTGTGTGAAAAATATCGTGTATTCTCAGAATTGTATACATATTTTTATGTTTTTTTTTTCTCCTGTCTTTTATCGAGGGACTGAACAAAATCAGTTTTGCAATGTTGTTACAAGGTTGCAATTAAGTTATCAAAATTATAATATGTACCATAAGTGTTACAAGTTATAAAATAAACATAGATAAAGTTACACAAAAGGTATAAAAATTTGTAAGCTGGAAACACCAATGTTATTTCTGTAAATTGAATCTGTTGTGTTATAGTGCGTACTGTAAAATATTTATAGGACAATACGAAATTCTGCCAATTAATAATGCTTACATTAAACACTATAAAAACACTAATAAACTATATACAGTATATACAAGGATTAATAAACTACATTATTTGGTCAACATCATACCATATCTTGTTGACTATATACATATATAATGTAACTTTGAATATTGTTTAATTATCAGTGTGATACCCAGACAATCATAATTAATTATGGAATTACAACTGATAGCAGTGTTTTTATGACAAATATCGATCTATTATCATAAAAAATGGTTGGATTAAAATAATGTCTATCGCCATATTCGTAATCTACATGTCAAAAGAAAGGGAAATTCTTTTCAGACTATCACATATTTTGCCAATGCTTGGAATTAACATCTCGAAAATAACGTGTGAAAATGTGAAAATAAAATTGAGGATAAGCATTCTACGTCAGTCAGTGTTGCTAGAGAGAAATTAAAATGTGGCGTTTTGTTTTACATATTCATTTTTTTTTAATTAGCAACTTTATTTTTTGTCTTTGTTATTTACTATCTAATGCGAAGATCTCAAAATGCTTTGGTGTTTTGTTTGTTACTCGGCTTTTGCTAATTTTACGTGTTCATATATTTCCATTGCGTTTAAATGGATTGATTTAAAACGTATTGTAGTAAAACAATATATAATAATGGAAAAATATCAGAGCACAGTGCTTTGAACCTGTGACTCTTAACCAACAAACTACTAAACCGTTTCGTATGTGTAGTGGGTATTCCAACAATTGCAATATACTTACTCTGTGACTTGTATGTACCAACGTACTTAAAAAAATCATGACGCAGGCGATTTTGTCTTTCGGTTTCATATTAATTTAACTGTTTATAATTTAAATGAGCTGAAATTCTGTATCTAAATAACAAATATTTAGTAAAAACATTAAAGAATTTATAATTTTTTTATGACATTAAAAAAGAGGGTAGTTGACAATTTGGTCAATTTTGAATACTTTTACGAGATGTGAAAACTTAACTTCTTCTATAGAAATTCTATGGAAATACCAATAAATTGCGTTATAGTTTATTTTTAATTGAATATCCATATATTTTTTAATATTTATATTTTTTTTTCTGAAAATGGAAAACAAAGTAATTTAAAAAAAAAAAAAATTTATGTTATACCGTGTTGTACAGAAATAATTCAACCAACAAACTGGTCAAACTAATGATCTAGAGGCTCTTTTTTAAGTTTATTTACAAGTATGAAAGACTTCTGAAAAATAGTTTTTCCAAAAATATTAGAGCTACGGCCACAACAAAATTTCATTTATCTTTCAAAATTAAATAACTTTGTGTTTTTATGTTACAACACGGTTCAATTTATATATGATAGTGTCAACTACCCAATTATTGATATTTTTCTATCATAATATCAACCTATACCCCTAAGGTTCATAAAGTTCGAATTTCCCAAAAAGTTTTGTGTATATAAAGTAAAAATGAATTACGATAATTCCTTATGGTACAGGTCACTTCCTTTATTAAAAAAAAGTATGTTATAATAAAAGTTAACTCCTAATTATTTATATTTACTCGAATAACAAAATATTTAACAAAACTTATTTTACGGATTTTATCGTGTTTTATTTTAAATTAATTTTACCTATTGTTATAGGATGCACCCGAAACGAATTAAAAATATTAATGTGCTCTTCTTTACATATTAGAGCTTATTCGAGCGGACAACGTGAGCTTGTCAAGTCGACACTAAAGTCTGCAAAAAATCAATAAGTAAAAACAAGTTAAAATTAAATTACTACGCGTTCATTTCGGGTTTGCCGTCGTCGACTGTTATGACGTCACAGCTGACGGTACCGTAGACAAAACTATTTCTGTAAGTGCTTTAATTGTAAGTAGTTCCACTTTTAGTTTGTTTCCATGTACAGAGAAATGGAGGCCAAGTAAGTATATAATAATAGTATAATATAATAATAAAAGTATATAATATAATAACACTGAATAGAAACGTGGCCGATAAAATAATATATTTTTATTATAGTTTTATTATACATTTTAAATTAATTATATAC